CTCCTAGGGCAATTTGTCTACCTGATCCCAATAAATTCACTGAGGTTTTACTGCCTATTATTCGATTGGCAATAACAGTTTTTGGAATACTGTAATATTCTGATGCATTGCGGTATGAGCGTTGACGTTTAACGACATCGTTAACAGCTGCAGCAAGATCTTCTGCTGTATAATTTCTCTCTGGGGGCTTCTTAATGTATTTTCAAACCATTTTAGCGTTAATAAGGTGGGGCAAATGAGACCGCGTTCCCAAATGCCCCTTTTTGACGTTCCCTTTCAACCGTTAAGTTCATTTTTTAAGAAAAAAATCTGCATATTATACAATTTTGTTACTAAATTCATTAATTATAATACATTTAGAGATAAAATATACATACATGCAGAAAATATTTCTTAAAACAAACAAAATCAAGGTACTTACTTTGCAGAACTACTAAACAAGCACACACATAATTTACAGACGCCAAGTTTACTCTTACTTTCCCGCTAAATTATTTGCTATAACTTATCTAAGTATCTTGAAAAGAGATGGCGCTGTATAGTTCAGCAGATCGCTGCTTTAAAATTTGACGTAACTTTACCGACACTGTAATTGAATAGGTCAATGCAGAAACTGAATATGTCCACTTTTTAGGGATATTGAGTTAAACATGGATTTACTATAAGTAAAGGGTGCCCGATCGAATGGCGTAGAAATTTCACATGTCACGGTAATCTAGATTATACAAAGGCGTTAATATTGTAGAGAAACTGAATATGTCCAGAACATGTCCACTTTCTGTTCAGTTTTTCTTATTTATCTCAAAACTAGATAGGTAGGACATATTCAGTTTCTGCATTGACGTATTCAATTATGAATATTGTTCGCAATTGCCCCTGTTCCCCTATATATATAGTAATTATATAATGCATTAATTAGTCCTACATGAAAGCTTTTAGCGGCTTTAAAATTTAAATATTAGTAATAATATCGATGATGAATTTTTAGCCTCGTCCGAATAAAACAGTAAATCCCGGCGCATTCGCCATTTTTTAAGTTGGTTAATTTCCAACACTGCAGTGCACTGTATAAAGGTATTAGATTTGTTTTGTTTTTGAGGTTGTTGATTACGATTTTAAGGATGAAATGATCAACTATGGTTAAAAACATTATAAAATACAATTTAAATGTTTGATCCTATGGTTTTTAGGGCTCCTGGTAGCAAAATGTAAATAATATTTCATGATTTCATATTAGATCTATAATAATTGTTGACGGTACTTTAAACTTATCAGACTCGATCGTAAATTTGCATGTAAGTTTTGTTATTGTGAATTTTTAAAAGAAGTAAAATGGTAGATCGCTATTGTTGTTATTTTAATATTTTTTTTTTTATTATTAACTTCTTTTTATGGAAAATGAATTCATTTACAATGATTTGCAATGCAAAACTGGTTATAAAACTAAAACTAATGTATTAAAAAAAGTACATCTTGTATAGAAACTTTTATCATTTAAAATTAACTGGTCGTCATGACGCCAATCGAATGTGACGAAGATTGGAGAAAGTTGGAGATTTTGCAAATGGATTTCGAAACTGCGTACTACAACCTGCTAATTTTACAACTCAGATTTAAAAAAATTTTATATGACTTTTATTAATACCCTCTACTATTTTTATGGCGCGAAAAAAGATATTTTTATACATATACATAATTTAAATACCTGCTCACCTAAAATATATTATTACAGATTCTGTAATATTGCCCTTTGTATCAAATGAGACATTACTAAATTAAATATTCACAATATAGCCGTCATAGAACCATTTGTAGCTGACACTCTTAGCTTCATTTTTATTCACGGCGCATGTCGCATGTTGCTATTTTGGGAGGAAAAATAGAGGGGATAGTTAAAAATCAGTTATTCCAAATTATTTTTTTAGGAAAAATGTTTTTAATGAAATAAGAAAGTTATAGATTTCAAAAATACGCGTCTATTAAATATTGAATACGGTCAAATAACAAACAAGGTTTGTTTATGAAAAATTTTTGAGACTGTAAAGCGATTAAAACGTGCTTATAGTGTTAACAATTTTACTTAGGTAATTTGATAAGAAACAACAATGTGTCTAAAAAAAATAATTGTGGTTGTTTCTGTGGCAGCTTTTTGTTGGATAGAATAATTGGTTAATTATAATTTAGTACTAATAATAATTTTCCCTAAAAATATAATTTAAAAAAATTGATTATCGAAATGCGGGGCCTTGTAAACCCCAAAAATTACTGTATGCATTATGTATTACATGTATGTAAAAAATGACAAAAATTGATTTATTTTACAATACTAATATTATTAATAATAATAAAACATGATGGAGATAAAATACTCATCCAACCATGAAAATGAGTAACCGACAAAACAAGTTGTGATTAAAGGAAAATAATAATAATAACAAGGATAATAACCATAATAATAATAAAATTAATATTTTTTTGTTGACAATACATGTGTAGAATACAATGGTCAACATAATCAATTAAATCTAAAACTCATAAGATCAGAAAGTAAAAATGACTCCTGATTCTCCTCTTAATATAATCTAAATGTGTCATTGGACAGGTCACCGACGCGCCTCATCAAATTTGCAAATTTTTAAAACAGCGACCATGGTCACAGAGAATTGGGTCGCCGGTATTACTGGTGACCATTTAAGACTAGATACAAAGTAGCCGGTAAAAGCCACTGGGATAAAATATCGCCCATCTCTAATAAAGTAATTTCTTAAGTCTATTACAAATTCAATTATGAAAACAGTAAAGATGGAAAAGTTTCTTGTCTCAGATGATATTGCATTTAGTACGACAATGTGTAAATTGTTTAGAATATATTGTAGGTATACTTGTATTTAAAAATTTACCTATATTTTAAAGTACAGAAAATCAATACCAACAATATATAAAATTGTCTCCCAGAGGCTATCCATGGTTTATATGAAATCAGATATCATATTATCTATCAGACTTACTTTTAAAAATGTGCTTTTTGATTTGGATTTCTTTCTCTTTCATTTATAAATATATACACATACCTCTATTATTTATAAGTTTGTCAATTAAAAAGTTAGACTTAATATTTAAAATTTAATATAATACATATATATATATATATATATATATATATATATATAGATATGCAATCCTACATTACCAAGCCCGAAACGTTACATTCTACAGTATAAACGAAGCCCACTCGGTTTTTACGAAGCCCGAAATCGGGCTTCCTAAAATTAGCGTGTATAAATTTGTTTTAGAGTTAAGTGATGCCCCCTTGTTTCAATGGCGAAAAAGTGGTGGGCTTCCTAATGCCATTCAAACCTATCAAAATATACACCCTTAGTTCCAATGCTTTGGCGGTAGGGGGCACACGAGTCAAAGGAGATTATATACAGCTTTGTATAAGTATTACGCAGTATACGAAGCCCGTACATCTGGCAACAATGGGGACTATACGCTCGATGACTTTTTGATAGGAAGGCGGGGAAAATAATGCGGGATTCTTAAATTTGTATCTACTGATTTTCAAAATAAATGTTATATTCCCAAAATTATGTTTTGTTGACTACATGGCGTGGATTAAAAGGCAATGTCTTGTTAAATACTTTCGTATTACACTTAATTTTAAAGAATTATTTATTTTTGAAATATTATTTGGAGTGCATTTTTCTTTGGGGCGGTTTTACAAGTTGTCCAGATATTTTACATAGTTTTAATTGGGGAAACAAGGGGATTTGTATATATTATTATTATTATTATTATTATTATTCGATGTTAAATAATTTAAATAAAAATAATTTTTAATTTATTTGAAACATTTCCAATTTTAATAAAAATAATTTTTAATTTATTTAAAAAATTTCCAATAGCGGTATGAAATAAATTAAAAATTATTTTTATTAAATATCATTTTAATGTAACATTGAATTGCAAAAACTGATTTTTGACAGATAGCTTCTCTAGCAATTTGTCAATTAACATTCACAACTGGTCAATTTATTTATACATGGCAAACAACGACCAAACGACCAAACAACAATAAGAAATTGGGTTCTATATTTGGATAGTGCTTATCTAAAAGGAACCAAAAACTTGTTCGGAGCTTAACAAACTTATTTGTATATACCTAACTCATTTTTAATGCTGCTCAAAAACTTAATTATAATTTGAAAGTCCTCTCAATAATTTAAAAGAAGTTCTAAACAATGATAAACTTTTTGAGCATTATTAAAAATGAGTTATTTTACAAAAAATTTTGTCCAAAAATAGTTTTTGGCGCTTGGTTCCTTTTAGATAAGGATTGTCCGTTTATACTTACCATTACAATATTATTTTATCAACCGTTTTGGTTAAAGTAATATTTTATCTACGATTTTTATTGGATAAAACAATATTTGGTTGGTAATACATTTTTCTTGTTTATAGGATGCTAAACTAAATAGCAATTTTCCCCACTTCTTTTTTTTATTTTTCAATTTTTAATTTGGTTTAGTTTTCCTAAATTTTCCCAACCTTTATTAAAATGGATAAAGCCGGATTCCGCGGATGCTCCTCAACTATGGTCTAGGTCTTTTAAATCAAATTTGCCTATAATTATAAATTTAGACAATATTTTTAAATAATGACTTATAATTCATTCATTATATAATAGTTTTTATTAAAATAATTATAAATCACACTATTTTTAAATACACTGCCCTACAAAATTATTGCATAATAAATAAAAAAAATTAACTCTAAAACGCCTTTACTAATCTTTATGAAATTTTGGATAAAAATATTCAACTTATATCTCAATTTACGTGTTCAAGGGTTTTTCGAGAAAATATGTTTAAAGCCTTTTTATTTAATAATGAAAATAAGTTCGAAAAATCACTTCTAGGGAATTTTTTTAAATAAATAAAAAATAACAAAAAAAAAAGCAACTCAAGATGTCGGTCGAGGCAGGTGGCTCTGGCTCTGTGATGTGTAAAAGGTGCAAATCTAAAGTAGCTAATGGATTAAAATGTGTTGTGTGTGTAAACCAATACCACCTGAGTTGCGCCAAACTTAGTTCAAATGTGAAAATAGTAGAAAATGGGATAATATGCTGTAAATCCCAAAGTGATGGAAAAGACTACGATTCTGACATGGCTTTCTACGATGCAGTTGAAAGTACTGATAAGTGCATAGACTCTCAAACTTTTCTGTACATTATTAAACAAAAAGACATCATCATTAATGAACTAAGAGATAAGGTAAAAATCTTAAATAATCAAATAGATTTATTAAATAAATTCCACGTCGACATTCCGAAAAAACATTCCGATGCGGAAAAAACACCAGCGACCAAACCAGTAAAAAATGTAAACACATCAAATGATATACCTGCTAATAAAAACAAAACAACAAATAAACAAAATAAAATATTAAAGACGCAAGTGGCTAGTGCCCTAAAAGAAGTTAAAGAAAAACTTATTATGGAAGAGATACAAAACTTGACAGCCAAAAAACCTGAAAATACAGATACTACTGGTAATCCACTTAAAGATGATTGGAGACTAGTATCTAATAAAATCAAATCTAAATCTACAAAAACTAACGGAATCATAGGAAAATCACTGAACGGGTCAATAAAAGTCGTCCCCAGGTAAGCATTTATCTATGTTAGTAGGTTAGATCCAAACACTACTGTAAATCAGTTACAAACATTCGTTAGAAATGATTTTTCTGAAGCAGTTTGTGAAAATATCGTAGCCAAGTACCCTGATCACTACAGCTCCTTTAAGATAACTATTAACCAAGGAAACTTTGAAGCTGCAATGAACCCGGAAATGTGGCCGTCAGGTGCATATGTATCACGTTTTTTTCAAAAAAGAGTGATACCAACAATGGCCCCATAGTTTCAGATGGAGTACAATCAGCAAACACAATTACCGCAAGAAAACCAACAATCAAAGAAAAAACTAACTTTAGAATAATGCACATAAACATACAGGGGCTACAAGACAAACTTCACGAGCTTGAAGCAATCTTAGAAACAAATAACATTGACATATGTTGTATGACTGAACATTGGGAGAAGAAAGAAATTTCGAACTTGAATTTTGGACAATATAAGGTGGTCGCAAGCTACAGTAGAAAAACAGCCAAACGCGGAGGTTCTTGCATTATAGCTAAAAACAACCTGGAGCTCCAAACTATAAATTTTAAACACAGCGAAGACTTTTTATTTGAATCTTGTTTTGTACAGTGTAGTGTTTTTAGCAAAGAAATAATTATAGGTTCTGTTTATAGGGTACCCGAGACAAAAAACTTTAATAAATTTTCTAAAAAGTTAGAAATAGCTGTGAAAACTTTTTCAAAACCATTGTTTTTGTGTGGTGACATAAATGTGGACATCTTACAGGATAACAATCAGGTTAGAATAATTTTGAATATTTTAAAGGAAAGAAATTTATACCCCTTAATAGGAGTACCAACTCGTATAACTAGTCATAGCGGAAAGTGCATCGATAACATTTTTGCTGATCATTCATTCATAAATAACACAAGGGACTCTATCAGAGTGGTTAATACACATATATCTGACCATACATATCAATATATTACTATCACAAATAATAATAACCACACTGATGGAAAAAAAGCAGCAAAACCATCCCGAATGTTTAGCGATAACAACATTGAGGCTTTCTGCTACGATTTGGGTGGCATTGAATTTGAACCAATACTTAAAGATGGCCACTCCGTAGACGAACTTTTTACCATTTTTTATGAAAGGGTAGGGGAGCTTTTTGAAAAAAACTTTCCCCTAAAACATAAAAAGACCCACAATAATAATAATAAAAGTCAAAGGAAATTTCATTACTCGCATGACTTAAAAGAGCTATCTAAATTACTTACAATAATGAACTCATTAAGAAAAACAATTAATAATGAATTCTATACTAACCGATATAAAAATCTAAAAAAACTTTATAAAAAAAAGTTGCTTTATGAAAAAAGAACTTACAATAATAACCGTATCATTAATGCAGAAAAGAGGCCTGGAATATCATCAAAGATAGCCAGGGAACAAAAGCTGAAAAAAGTTCATGTGAAAAGATTCAAAATAAGGACGGCAAAATAGAAACAGATCCTAAAATTGTGGGGAACATATTCAATGATTTCTTTGTTGATTGCGCTAAAAACTTAGTAGAAAATATAGAAAACAAAAATAGAGAAAAAGCAATAAATAACTTCCATAATAATTCCCACATAACAAACAGGAACTTTTTCCTTACTCCAACTACACCGACAGAAATAGTACATGCAATATCTCAGGTGTGTAAGAAAAAGTCTAGTGGCATTGATAATATTCCGGGTCACGTCATAAACGCAGCCCGCAATTGTTTAGCTTCTCCCCTGTCATTTATTATAAACAAAAGCTTTGTAGAGGGTAAATACCCACAAATACTTAAAAAATCGAAAATTATACCCGTTTTCAAACACAAGGGTAGTAGGCACGATAAACAAAACTATCGACCTATCGCGCTACAATGCCAGTTTGGAAAGATATTTGAATATGTTTTTAATAAGAGACTTATAAATTTTCTGGAAAGCAACTATTTGCTCTCGAGTCATCAAAACGGTTTCCGCAATGGTCGGAGCACACAAACGGCACTAAAAGAAACTTTCGATTTTATACATAAACACTTAGACAATAAGAATCTTATCCTTGCACTCTTTTTCGATTTAAGTCGAGCTTTCGACCTTATAAATCATGATATACTAGCCGATGAACTTCATGACATTGGTATCAGGGGCACTCCCCTTGATTGGATTATGTCATACATATCAGATAGACTACAGGTTGTGAGTATAAATAATACAATTTCGGATACAAAATATACAGACATAGGCACACCACAGGGGTCATGCCTATCTCCTACCTTGTTTAATATTTTTATAAATTCGCTGCCTGGACTACTGGAAGACATAGGACTTCCAGTACTCTACGCGGATGACACTAATGTACTGATTGCTGCGGGGAACATTGATGACCTGAGGAAAAAGGCGCATGCATGTATCAAAATCGTCACAGAGTGGGCCATCAGGAAAAAGCTTAAAATTAACACAGAAAAGACCATGGCTATGCAGATTTTCCCATCCAACGCATCTATTAATAAATATCCTCTTATAAAACATAACAATAAATCAATCCCAATTAGCCCAAGTACAAAATTTTTAGGTCTCCACATGGATCAAAAAATAACATTTTCCACCCATATTAATAAATTAATATCACAACTTAACAGCTCTTGCTACCTTTTAAAAAATCTTAAAAATACAGTTTCGACCGAAGTACTAAAAACGGCATACTATGGTCTATTTCAGTCAAGATTGAACTACGGCATTTTATTGTGGGGGCAAGCTACGGAAGTGGCTAAGGTTCTTACAATACAAAAAAAAGCACTACGATATATGTTCGGACTAAGCAAACGATCATCTTGCAGGGAATGTTATAGAGAACAAGGAATCCTAACTCTCACTGGACTCTATCTTTATTCATTATTAACATATATCAAGTCCAAACCCCACTTACCAAAAGAAGATGTCCACGGTTATGATACCAGGTACAAAAACAATACAATACAACCTATTGCGAGACTAAAGGTATCAGAAAAAAACCCTGATTACGCAGGGATACTCTGCATGAAAAAACTTCTCCAATTAAATAAAAAATTTGCTAACTACAACAAAAACAAATTTAATAGAGAATTAAAAGAATTTTTAATAAACAGAACCTATTACTCTTTAAATGAGTTTTTAAATGATTAAAATGTATGTTCTTTTAGACTTATTCCACGTTTATAAACTTTGACGATGTCCATATTTTGTTAAGTATATAATTACATGTATTTATGCTGTAACATTATCAGACTAATAAATTACTTTACTTTACTTTACTTTACTTTACTTTATGCTGTTAAAGAGCGTATTTTTTTAGTATACCCTGAAAATTTTGTACAAATCAAGCGAACAGTAACGAAGATACAGCGCGCTTCAAAGTCGTGAAAAATGACCACTTTTCAGCAAAATAATCAAAAAGGCGTCATTTTTACTGACTTTGAAGCGCTGTATCTTCGTTAATGTTCGTTTGATTTGTACAAAATTTTCAGGGTGTACTAAAAAAAATACGCTCTTTAACAGCAATTTTTTTTATTTATTTAAAAAAATTTCCTAAAAGTTATATTTCGAACTTTTTTTCATTATTAAATAAAAAGGCTGTAAACATATTTTCTCGAAAAACCCTCTAACACGTAAATTGAGATATTGGTTGAAGTATTTTTATCCAAAATTTCATAAAGATTGGTAAAGGCGTTTTAGAGTTTATATTTATTATGCGATAATTTTGTCGGGCAGTGTATTAGAGTATACGTCATTATTTAGATTTTTTAGAATTTTTGGTGTATTTAAATCTAATAATTTAAAAAAAACTACATGTCTTTATAATTCATGAAAAAAATATTCAGTCAGTTTCACTTGTTTTCATTCCCATTTAAGTTTTACACAAAATTACCTAACCTCAACAATAATTCTTATAATAATTATAATTTTTGATATATTTGTATATTTTTTATTAACATATGGAAATATATTTTTTAAAGGCTTAACTTTTAAACAAAAACGAATTGCATCCATGTCATTTTCCACGCTCTTTAACAGCATATTTTTTATTTATTTAAAAAAATTCCCTAAAAGTTATATTTCGAACTTTTTTTCATTATTAAATAAAAAGGCTGTAAACATATTTTCTAGAAAAACCCTCTAACACGTAAATTGAGATATTAGTTGAAGTATTTTTATCCAAAATTTCATAAAGATTGGTAAAGGCGTTTGTTAATTTTTTTTAGATTTATTATGCGATAATTTTGTCGGGCAGTGTATTAGAGTATACGTCATTATTTAGATTTTTTAGAATTTTTGGTGTATTTAAATCTAATAATTTTAAAAAAACTAGATGTCTTTATAATTCATGAAAAAAATATTCAGTCAGTTTCACTTGTTTTGATCAGGGTTGTGAACCGGTCCAAGAACCGCTTGTTTGTTACGGACCGGTCCGTAACCAAAATAAACAAGTTATAATTCTGGACCGGTCCATGGACCGTCCCGTTTTTAAAATTACTTGGACCGGTACAAATTTTGGACCGAACCGTTTTCAAGTGTTTTGGAGCGGTACTGGACCGGTTTAAACACTTTGAACCGGTCCAAACATTTGTATTATTAGATTATTTTCACTCCTATTTCATATTATTGACATTATTATTATTACTGTGATTTGAACCAATCGGGTTTTAAATTGGAAAAAGTGAGATTGGAACTAAGAGATGTCAGATTTTTTTATATATTATATGGGTCATTCCACCAAATAATTTTTTTTTGTTGTCCCTCGCGGATTTTTGAAGTGAAACTTTAAACGCGCGCAAAGGGATAACTGCTCTAAACCCAATTTTCATATAATAATATACATATAATAATTTCGTAATAGG